ATTACTACTGGGCTGCGAGTATTTGTTGTTTATTATACTGGGTATATTTCTATTTGGATCTATTATGCCCATGGGTGTACACTTGTGCAGTCAGAGTTCATTATCAGCCCTTCTGAGTGCTGCACTTCCTCTTTGTTCCCACAGTCCTGCCCCGCTTTATTTAAATTTTGGGCATCTAATTTTCAAAACATCTGAGAAATTCTTAAATCATCAAATTGCCACAAATCTGCTGGCTGCTGTTTCTGGCTTATTTCCTGGTAATTATTTACCAAAAAGCAAAATGAATAATTCTACTTTTTTTGCGTCACAACTGAGTTTCAATGAAAATACCATCCATCCATCCATTTTCATCCGCTTATCCGGAGTTGGGTCGCGGTGACAGTAGCCTAAGGCGAGAGGCCCAGAGTTCCCTCTCCCCAGCCACTTGGGCCAGCTCCTCCGGGGTAATCCCAAGGTGTTCCCTGGCCAGGAGAGAGAGACAGTCCCTCCACCGTGTCCTGGGTCTACCTTTAGGTCTCCTCCCGGTTGGACACACCCAGAAAACCTCACCAGGGAGGCATCCAGGAGGCATCCTGACCAGATGCCCGAGCCACCTCAACTGGCTCCTCTCGATGTGGAGGAGCAGCGGGTCTACTCCAAACCCCTCCCGAATGACCGAGCTTCTTACCCTATCTCTAAGGGAGAGCCCAGCCACTCTTCGGAGAAAACTCATTTAGGCCGCTTGTATCCGCGATCTCGTTCTGTCGGTCACTACCCAAAGCTCATGACCATAGGTGAGAGTAGGAACGTAGATCGGCCCGCAAATCAAGTGCTTCGCCTTCTGACTCAGCTCTCTTCACCACGACAGACCGGTACAACACCCGCATCACTGCAGATGCAGCACCAATCCGTCTATCGATCTCACGCTCCAGCTTTTCCTCACTCGTGAACAAGACCCCGAGATACTTAAACTCCTCCACTTGGGGCAGGACCTCATCCCTGACCCAGAGAAGGCATTCTACCCTTTTCCGAATCAAGACCATGGTCTCAGATTTAGAGGAGCTGATTCTCATCCCAGCTGCTTCACACTCGGCTGCGAACCGCTCCAGCGAAAGCTGAAGATCACGTTCTGATGAAGCCAACAGGACCACATCATCTGCAAAAAGCAGAGACCTGATCCTCAGGCCACCAAAACGGATGCCCTCCACACCTTGGCTGCACCTAGAAATCCTGTCCATAAAGGTTATGAACATAATCGGTGACAAAAGGCAGCCTTGGTGGAGTCCAAGTCTCACTGGGAACGAGCCCGTCTTACTGCTGGCAGTGCAGACCAAGCTCTGACACCGGTCATCCAGGGACCTAACAGCCTGTATCAGAGGGCCTGGTACCCCATACTCCCGGAGTACCCCCCACAGGACTCCTAGGGACGCAGTCAAACGCATTCTCCAAATCCACAAAACACATGCAGACTGGTTGGGCAAATTCCCATGCAGCCTCTGGGATCCCCCTAAGGCAGGGGTGGGCAACTCTAGTCTTCGAGGGCCGGTATCCACCAACTTTTTGTTATTTCCCAGTTCCAACACAGTTGATTCAGCAGCTCATCAAGCTGCAGAAGCCAGCTAATCTCCTGCTTGTTGAAATCAGGTGTGTTGAAACAGGGAAAACAGTAAAATGTGAGATAGTGGCCCTCGAGGACCAATTCAATTCAATTCAAGTTTATTTACATAGCGCCAAATCACGACAAGAGTCGTCTCAAGGCACTTCACATAATAAAAATTCCAATTCAGGTCAGTTCATTAAGCCAATCAGAAATAATGTTTCCTATATAAGGAACCCAGTAAATTGCATCAACTCACTGACTAGTGTCAGAGTCTTCACAGCAATCCTCATACTAAGCAAGCATGCAGCGACAGTGGAGAGGAAAACTCCCTTTTAACAGGAAGAAACCTCCAGAGGATCCTGGCTCAGTATAAGCAGCCATCCTCCACGACTCACTGGGGATCGAGAAGACAGAGCAGACCGAGCAGACAGACACACACACACACACACACACACACACACACACACACACACACACACACACACACACACACACACACACACACACACACACACACACACACTCACACTCACACACACACACACACACACACACGTAATGTGTCTACAGTTATATTGTGATGTCTTAGTAAATATTGTATTTGGTGAAAGATAAACTTTATTGTATTTATCCTAGTGGATCTATAATTAAACGGATAAACTAGTATTAGCACATCAAAAGTCAAGGAAACCAAAAAGTTATTATCAGGAAGAGAGAATGTTTAAGTGGTTAGCAGCAGTGTGCTAGACGATGGCCCCCTCCATGAGGCCACCACAGCTCAGCAGAACGTCATTGTAGCTTCTTCTGGGGAGAAAAACACTTACAGAGAAAATAAAGTTAACAGCTGAAATTGCACAAAATTTCAGGATTTCCCACTCCTGCCCTAAGGGTATAGAGCTGGTCCAGTGTTCCACGGCCAGGACGAAAATCACATTGCTCCTCCTGAATCTGAGGTTCACCAATCCGATGGACTCTCCTCTCCAGAACCCCTGAATAGACCTTACCAGGAAGGCTCAGGAGTGTGACCCCCCTGTAGTTGGAACACACCCTGCGGTCCCCCTTTTTAAATAAGGGGACCACCACCACGGTCTGCCAGTCCATTGGGACTGCCCCCGATGTCCACGCGATATTGGTGAGCCGTGTCAGCCAACACAGCCCCACAACATCCAGAGCCTTAAGGAACTCTGGGCAGATCTCATCCACCCCTGGAGCCTTGCCACAGAGGAGCTTTTTAACCACCTCAGTGGCCTCAGCACCAGAGACTCGAGAGGCTAACCTAAAGTCCCCAGACTCTGCTTCCTCACTGAAAGATGTGTCTGTGGGATTGAGGAGGTCTTCGAAGTATTCTGTAAAAATACCTTTGAAAGAACAGGAGCATCTTCTGATGATGTGTTGAAGAAAACTGCCACGCAAACTTTCTGTAGTTAGCTAAAGTTGTTGAAAGCCAAACTGGAGTGACCGTTTCCCGTGACACCATATGGTGCACACTGAAGAGGAATGGCATGCATGGGTATCGTCCATGAAGGAAGCCTCTTCTAAAGCCCATGCATAAAAAAGCACAGATTTGCTAGGGCCCATGCTGAAAGAGATGAAGACTATTGGGACTCCTTACTCTAGAATGATGAGACAAAGGTTTTGGAACTAGTGGTTTCAAAACTGCATGGCATCGTAAAGGTGAGGATTTCAAAGAAAAATGCATTGTGCCTACAGTGAAACATGGTGGTGGCAGTGTCTTAACGTGGGGCTGCATGAGTGCTGCTGTTGTTGGGGAGCTGCATTTCATTGATGGTATCATGAACTCAGCAATTTACTGCTCTATACTGAAGGAGAAGATGCTGCCCTCACTTAGTGCTCTTGGTCGTTGTGCACTTTCCAACACGACAATGATCCAGAACACACATCTAAAGCTAGGGTTGGGTTTCTGAAGAAGAACAGGGTGAAGGTGATTGAATGTCCAAGTATGTCTTCTGATCTGAACCCAATCCAACACCCGTGGGGAAGGTTGAAGCAGCAAGTTGAGCATCACTCTCCATCCAGCATCCAGACTCTAAAAGAGGGTATTCTTGAAGAATAGAAAACGGTAGATGTTGCAACATGTCGCCAACTTGTTCATTCCATGCCTAGAAGACTTGGTGCTGTCCTTGAAAATCACAGTGGTCGTAAAAAATACTACATGTAGTAGTTTTTGTTGTGGGGTGTATTCATTTTTGCTTCGACTAATTTTAGTAAAACTGCAGATTTTGAGATATGTTATGTTACTAACCTTAATTTAATGTTAAAGAGTTAAACAAGTGTTCAATCAAGCCTGGCCTTGTGAAAAATCTGTAAATTGTTGTTTTGTTCATTGAGCTGCTGATGAAATTTGGAGGTGTACTCATTTATGCTGAGCACTGTATATTGTCCTTTTTGGGATTGATGAAAACACTGCTGTCTCACACATTACACTAAGAAGCAGGTTTGGTAAAAAGTAAACATCCAGACAAATACTCAAATGTTAGTTCTGTGCTCTAATTTTGGGGGTTTTATTTGTCGAATGTAAAGGTTGTTACTTTTAAATGAATGTCTCATGTGTGGTGGTCTAATTCTTGAGTCTGTTTTTCTAAAAAAAAAAAAAAAAAAAAAAGGTTTCAAACATGGCCTAATAATATTGTCAGAGTCCTAGATGGGAATGTTAATGTTTTAGTGGTTTCTGTCGATTAGCTGAAGTCAGATTTGGGTGCTTCTTGGACAACTTCTGAAGTCTGATTTATACTTCTCCGTCTGCGTCCGTGCTGAGACGTGCAACACCGTTATGTGTCCGCGCATCACAGACAGGCTCACAGAGGGTGATGGAGACACGGCCAAAATTTTAAACAGCCGTCAAAAATGACGGGGACCGCAAGCTTGTGATTGGTCTGGACGCTGCTTCCTGTAAATTTGTCAACAGCACCATGGAAAAGTAAAAAATGTTTAGCAGCAGACCCAGAACAGATTGAAGAACGTATCGTGGAAAAAGTCCAAAATATGAATGTTTTTTTTATCCATGGAGTAAAAATTACAGAACGTGAATGTGAACGGAAATTATGGAAAACGTGGGTTTAGAGGTGTTGACCGCATGAAGAGGTGGAGAAGAATGAAGGACACATCTGTCCGTGTCTCTGAAATATATAAACACATTAGTAAATACACTTTTAAACTGCACACGTGAGTGTTATGGTGGCAGGATACTACAGAAAATCGCTACGCCTTCTGTTGTCTTGGCGGGGAATTGTTATGCAACACATAAGCAGAGCTGATGGAGAAGTATAAATCAGGCGTAAGCACAGAAAACTGAAAGCTGTAAGATTGCCCTGGCTGATTCTAGACATTAGCTAAGCTAAGGATTGGCAAACGCTAGAGGCTGGTGGTATCATTCATGCTAACAGAATCGCTCCTCTTTTAGCACATAGACAACGTGTTCAAACACAAAGAGTTGCAACAGCAGTTGATGGACGCCAAGCTGCAGAGAATCACTGAGATGATGAAAGAAGTGGAGGAGAAGCAGCAGCGGGAGAGAGAGTTTGTAAGGGCTTCATCTGCATATCTGCTAACAGCTAGTTGGGTCAGCTGTATTAACCCTTTCTGTGCTTTAGCTGCTTAAGGACGCCACAGACTCGAGACACAAGTGTGAGATGATGAAGGAGCAGGAAGTCCAACTCAAACAGCAGGTGAGGACCAACACCCCTTTGTTTTTACTGTGGCTACAACCACCTGCTTTACTATTAACATACTACAAGTGTTGTTTTCGTCAACGATGACTAAATTCTTTCTTTGATGCCCCTTTTTCTAAATGATAAAACAAGATGCTGATGAGCTAAACTACAGTAGGATGCAAAAGTTCAAGCTTATAGAAGACACATTAGAGGTGGGAATCTTCACTAATCTCAATTACGATTATTAAGTCAACGTTTCGATCCGACATGATGCATCATGATTATTTCATATGAATTTGTTTTCATTGATAAATAGAAGATGTCAGATATAAGCTTTTTTAAATACATATTCTGCAACTTTTACACTTTAAAAAAGTTTCTTTGAAGGTTTTGGCGGCATACTTATCTATACCTATCTATTATGTTTATTTTCTGAGCTGTGATAGTGTTATGGGGTCCCACATCTATTTACTGCACTACACAGTTTTTGACTGGGGTCCGCTGGCAGAAGTACTGACCGTGTGTTGCTTTACGGCAGTATCACGTAAACACTATAGACATGAATACGTACGATATTTATTTTTCTTTAATTATATTTATATTTTAATTGTCGTGCCATACCTTGTGTCTGATTTTGTTAAAAAGCTTGATAAAATAGGTTTTTTAGCTGGTTTAAGCACCTTCCTCTGTAGAAATGAATGCACCGGGGGCAAATGATAGACTGGGGCTGAACGATTAATTGCATATGCAATTAAATTGCTATGTGGCAAAAGGAGATTTTCTAATCGCAAACGCTGCGATTTGACTTGCAGCGAGTGGTTAACACAATGCTAATATACATGGAAGAACCCATAGGGATGCTAATGCTAATATCGCAGATTACATTCTTACAGATCAGGAATTAGGAACGGGCCAAATAATTACATTTGGAGTCTAATAAAATATAAAAACTGCCATCAGTCAAATAAGCACAGACAGATATTTTAGTAAAGCTAGAAAACTGTAGGAGACTTAAACTCCACTGAGTTTTGGCTAGCAGCTATGGACGTAACTGAATTATGGAAGCTCTGCATGGACAAGACGCACAAAAGACTTCAATAAATGGGACACACTTCTTTCCTGCTAATAAATGTTCACAGTTGATGCTAATACCTATGCTCCTTCAAGAGATGTGCTCCTGGCTGCAAAGTACCGCACCTTCAAACACAAAATGTTATCTTGTGAGTGTTAATGTTTATGTAGACAAATAAACTTGTTGATATATGTAGATAAATATGTAGATACATAAACTTGTTTATATGCAGTATAAGTTACATAGGGTATTTTTTTTTGCTTCCGTTAGTTGAAAAATATGAGAAAAGCCCCTTGAGAAAATAATCGTGAATTAAATCGCAATTGCAATATTGGTGGCCACCTCCCATTTCGGATTAAAAACTTATAATACGAGCCTATGGGCAGGAATTGTCCAGTATATATATATGTCGATGATTTTAATCAGAACTTTGCTCACATGTGAAATTAAAAGTCAAATGAGGCTTTTATTCAGACGTCCTCTGCCTCACTGTACTCACTCACATGCTGCTGCAGTCCCGGCCGGCTCCTCCCAATGAACGTCATCCTCACTGCCATTCAATGCATCCACGCATGCAATGTTTGATGCTTCTGCTGAACTCACCACTATCATCTTAAAATTAACATAATAACTCTGCCTTAGAAGCTTGTAAACTTGCCCTACTTTCAATCCATTCTGGTCCGGACCTCTCGTCTCCATTTTCTTCTCCTGTTGAGAACATACTGCCTGGCGCCCTCTACTGTTACGGGCGTGTAATGACCCCAGACAAATATCCGCATGTGTGAATGCTAAGACAACCCTATATTTTAAATTATTTTCAATGAAAAAAACTCATCCTATATTCAAATCAATACAATATAAAGATATTGCCACTAAATTTCTGGTCAGTGATCCTAGTCCAACCCCCAATCCGGTGGGCGTGATCTATTCGCTCAAATATCGCCCCCTAGGACCATTAAAACTGTAAGCCCCAAGTCATGCTTTTAGTGAGGGTTACAAACTTTTGTACACTGATGTAGTGTCTCAGAACCAACAAAAACTTTCATGGAGCCAAGCTCCAAATCCCACTGGAGGTCGGCCATTCTGGACCACTGACACCATTTTTTTTTGGTTTTGCACGTTATTTGAAAAAGTCTTAGTCCAAGGGATTTCCCCGAGACACCTCTAAATTATGCAATCTGCTCTTAAGCCATAAAGGAAAAATCTGAGCCTAAAGATTTTTCAAAAGTCTTAACGCTGTGGGCGTGTCTAACCCCAAAATTCCACTATCTCCGCTCCGCTGCGCTCCGGCACGAACTCTGCAGCAAAAACGGTCCTGTTGTAGTCAATGGGAGCTGTTCCACTACTGCGGCCGTGCGGCGCAGTGCGTCGCCCGCCGTTCCACCATCCGGCAAAAATAGGATCGATTATATTGTTGGAAACTGGCGGCCAAAAACCTGATGGGAGCATCCCCAGTTTTATTCTTGGTGTGTAATTTCAGAGCTAAAGGTGTATTTGTGACAAACTGTTAACTTCACGACTGCCACAAATGTAAATTGTTAAAACTCACAGCTGCTCAGCAAAAACAAAGTCCCCGAGCCACTAAACATCCAGATTCCCGAACATAACGACACAAATGAGGAAAACCCAAAGAAAATGTGTGGAGAAATGGAGCTGAAACAGATTTCCGGCATTGCCATGGACACTGTTTAATGGCGAGCATTCTAACTAAATAGCACCAGTTACATGGTCTCTGTTTTAGTTTCGATATCTTTGTAGTCTTCGTAGACTTGACTTAATAATACTTAGTCTGGGAAAAGACTTGTCCATTTCTATTCTTGTTTATCTAGCATCCATGAACAGAGGCTGCGTGAGGCTAGCTTACCGCTCCTCGCTTTAGAGGGGATTGAAACCACCTGAGCATCATTGGTGGTACCATTGAATCCTTGATTGAACAGGAGCGCTTTGTCAAGCAGGGAATCATCAGGATAGTCCCGATGTTCTGCACTTGCTTAGAGAGTTACGCCCAGGTGTACTTAACACAGCTCATGTTCTTCACTCTGGTTTCTTCCAGCTCTCTCTCTACATGTACAAGTTTGAAGAGTTTCAGACCACTTTGGCCAAAAGCAACGAGGTCTTCACCACCTTCAGACAGGAAATGGAGATGGTGAGAGGGGGTTGTTGTTGTTAAAAAATGACTTTTCTAATGTACTGATAACATTAGGCCTCAGCAGACCCATTGCTACTGGGTCTTATCACAGATTAGTGTCTTGTTGGGGGGGGGGGGGGGGGGGGGGGCACTGTCATAACTGGACATAACCAGATCACATGTGGGTTACCTTTAGGGCTGCAACAACGAATCGATAAAAATCGATGAAGAAATGCGTTGCCAACGCATTTCTTCATCGATTCGTTGTGTTGTACAACTTTTTTCATGTTGTGCAACCTTTATGTAGCAGTCGAGGCGTGCAGCTCATGTGTGGGAGGCAACAGAGCAGACAGAGGCAGATCAGAACGAGAAAGCAAGTGTTTTGATGAGGAACGACGCACTTGGAACCGTAAGTTGCTTACTGATGCACCATGTGCTAAGGTAGGTGGTGTGGAGGGAAACAGAAACCAGCAAAGACACAAAGGCAGAAATGGTTTTGGATGAAAAGTGTAACTATGGACAGATTAGCTAATGCTAGCGGGTAGCAGGCTCACGATCAAGTGTGGTTCTGCAAAAACACGATGGGTCGTGAAACTACGAACATCTAAACTCTACAAGCAGAAGAGAAGTCCTCATCATCCTGTTAATTCTTAGCTGACTGCAGCGCTATGGAGCAGAACCGCTGAAGTCAGGTTAGTCTGCTCGGCTCAACAAAGCTGCAGGATTATGGCAAGCCACTGTAGCATGTAATTCACAAATGCATCTATCTGTGAACATAATTTAAACTGGATTATTGCCACACCGTCCAGGAAACATCAGAGAACATTCTGCTATTAGAAGCTAACCATTAGTATTAGCAACTCCACCACACAGCAGATCTCCTCCAGGCTTGTGTTATTTGTAGAGAATAAACATCAACATTGCAGAGCAAAGAGTCAGTGGTATAGTTGCATTTCTGTTAGCCAATCAGAAGAGAGATGTCTTACTATCAGGAAATAAGACTACATCCTGTCGTCTGAAGCTCAGCTGTGATGTGGCTCACTTCTAAGTCGTGAAAATGGTGCATTGGTGTATTTTTCCCCAGAGTACGACTTACAAGGCTACTAAAGACCATTGCAGAGGTATTGATTATACGAGTGTTCAACACCTTTAACCCTCCTATTCTCCTTGGGGTCAATTTGACCCCTTTCAATGTTTATCACTCAAAAATTAATAGTTGCCTTTTTTGTTTTTGCTTCATATTTCATGACTTTTCGTAATTTGATGGGGGCAACAGGTTCAGCATCACATTTTCATCATAATATTTTCTTAATGTCCTGAACACATATTGCACGCATTGGTGTTCCTCAGGGGTCAATTTGACCCCAAGCTGTTTTAACTGTGTAAACAGCAGGTGCAGTTGATACTTTTTAGTTGATACATGATGTGTGTGTGTGTGTGCGTGTGCGTGCGTGTGTGTGTGTCTGTGTGTGTGTGCGTGTATGTGTGTGTGTGTGTGTTAGAGAGAGACCATATGAACTCACACCTTCCTCAGATCTCATATTTCCCACGCTGTGGAGGGAGGGGTATTTCCACAGGGATATGCAAAGTAAGGGAGGAGCAAATGTATAAAAGCTTGCACCCCTCAGTGTGCTCTGCGTAGGCTGCTAAAGTCTGCACGCTCGCTCACGTGAGAATGTGCTCTAGGAAAAGAATCACTGTTGGTGAGGTTTTGGAGCAGCTCTTTGACAGTGAAAGTGACATAGAGGAGAATGTGTCTGAGACAGAGGATTGTGTTGAGGAGGACCCTGACTCTGAGGGATGTTCATCTGATGAGAATGAGAGGGCTGACCCCCTGTTGTGTCTCAACAGCCAACAGACACGGTCACCTCCAAAAATGGAAAGATACGGTCCCTTTCCCCACGTCAACAGCAGGGTAGACTCAATGCTATTAATGTTATCAAAATGGTTCCAGGCCCTACAAGATATGCAGTCAGCCACACCGAAGACATCAAGTCATCATTTGGACTCTTCATAACCCCATCAGTTGAGAATATTGTACTTGGGATGACTAATTTAGAGGGTAAGCGAGTCTATGGGGACAGTTGGAAAGACTTGGATGTAGTTGACTTGGAAGCCTACATTGGCTTGCTCATTTTGGCCGGGGTTTATAAATCAAAAGGTGAAGCAACAGCGAGCCTTTGGAAAGCTGAGACTGGAAGGGTGATATTTCCAGCCACCATGTCTCTGAAGACTTTTCAAGTTTTGTCCCGTGTCATACGCTTTGATGACAAACAAACAAGGCAGGGCCGACGAGAACGTGACAAACGTGCAGCAATAAGGGATGTGTGGGACAAGTGGGTGCAGCGTTTACCCTTGCTTTACAATCCAGGCCCCCGTGTGACTGTCGATGAGTGCTTGGTTGCGTTTTGTGGACGCTGTCCATTCCGACAATATATGCCAAGCAAACCTGCCAAATATGGCATCAAAATGTGGGCAGCATGTGATGCACATGAATGTGCATCCTAAATTAGAAAAGATTTGGATAAAAGATTTGTAAGATACACTAACTCTAAAACTGAAAGTTTGACCTGACGGTGGCGCTGCAGAAAAGGTCATATCATCACCAGAACCCATTAAGGTTCATGATCTTGTGATCATTAATGTTAAATATGAGAAGATTTCTATGAAAACTTTTCAAGATAAATTTATTTTAACTTTGGTCTGATGATTTAAGTTTGGCCTGATGGTGGCGCTAGAGCAGTGGTTCCTAACCTGGGGGTCCCGACCCCCACAAGGGGGCGCCAAAGCCTCTCAGTGGGTCGCCAGGATCTCTCCACTTTAAGGGGTTAAAACTTCATTTATTACTTGTTTATAGCCTACATTTTGCTCACATTTTTTTCATGAGTGAAAAGTTTACTGATATTAAGACAGGAAATAATTAGTACAGAAAAAGTAACACTTTTAAGAACATTTTGCTCAGCTCACTGTTTTATTTTCAAGTGTCAAAAGTTCATTAAAGATAGGACTGGTTGATTAATCACAGCGTTTACAGTAAATAATCTAGTATAAACAGTAATATACACATTTAAGTACATTTTGCTCAGTGTATTTTTTATGTGTCAATCGTTTATTGAAAGGAATGATTGATTTATCAGTGTTTACAAGAAACAATGTGTTCAGAAAAGTAATACAAACTGTCAAGCACACTATGCTCTCTTTGGTTTTGTTAATGGGGTCCCTTGGGAAAAAGGCTGGGAACCACTGCGCTAGAGAACAGGGCTTGTTTATGTATTTAACAAATAAACAAAGTGTCTGACATAAAAACTAAGGCAACAATTTTCAGTAAATCATTTTCTGGGGTCAAATTGATCCCCGAGGGTGAAAAGTGTTAGTAAATTTGAGGAGAATAGGAGGGTTAAGGGTAGAGTCCTGCACTGAAGCCCGGCCCGAGGGCCTAGGGCTTCAGTGCAGGACTCTAGTTAAGGGTGAGTTAATAGTTTTAAACTCATTTAAAATGAAAAGCAGAATGTCTGAAAATGAACAATGGAAACCTTCAGGTGTTCAAAACCTTTATTGTCTTGCCTTCTGTGTGCCCTCATGGGTCCCCTCCTTGTGTCCTTTACTTTGATTAGGTATTGTTGTCCCCTAGCCCTTCAGTCTATTTAGTTCTGTAACTCTTTAGGTGGTTAGTTTATCTTTAGTGTCCCCCGTTCCTTATTTCTGTGGTGCTTAGGTTAATTTAGGTTCAGTAGCTTTTGTTTTGCTCTGGTTTCCTCCCCTGCTTGGTTCTGCTACTCCTCCCAGTTTATTAGTGCCACCAGTGCCCAGTTCCCTTACCCACCCAGCCCTGGTCTTGTCTTCTGGGTCTGTGGGTTCATCTCTCCCGTCAGCGTGTTTGTAGCCTCCTGACTTCCAGTTCCCAGTTTCTCTAGTTTCCAGCGTTTGAGTTTTTCCTCCTGTGAGTGATTTTGTTCTCTTGGTTTTGAGCCTTTTGGATTTAGTTTTTATGTTTCTTAAGATAAAGACTTGGTGCATCTGCTCGAGTCGTTCTGGGTTCCTGCATACTGGTCAGCCCTGACCCTTCTAGAATGTACTCATGTACTTAGACAATACTTTATAAAGTGTGTGTGTGTGTGTGTGTGTGTGTGTGTGTGTGTGTGAGAGATTTATATATGCTAGTACAGATGTGATATCAATAATTGTGATAACTGCTCAGACTATATTTGTACCACCGAAATGTGAAGTCGCTGCAGCCTTGGTCATGACGTAATCCTAGTTCACACTTATACATAATTCTGTTTGAGGTTCAGTGGAGCCATCAGGACAAACTGGGAATGTCGGCATCTGTTTCCTTCCAGTTGTAAACAGCTTTTTTTCCTCAGATGACAAAGAAAATCAAAAAGCTGGAAAAGGAGACGACTCAGTGGAGGACCAAGTGGGAGAGCAACAACCAGGCGTTGCTGCAGATGGCAGAAGAGGTGAGTTCTGTATTGCTGTGTAAGGAAACGCGGTCAGGGCAGTTTCAGCAACATTCCCGGTGCTTCCGTGAGCCGATGATGTCCAGGTTAGTGATCTAACAGCTGACCGGAGACTCTTGGCTCCTTCTTTCAGAAGACTCTGCGCGACAGCCACTTCAAGGCCCTGCAGGGGAAGCTGGAGCTGCTGGAGCGACTGTGCAGAGCTCTACAGAAAGAGAGGAACGACCTGAGCAACCGACTCAGCCTCCTCCAGGAGCAGGGAGACAACCGGACCTCCCCCCCCTTAGATCAGCAGCAGGAGCCTTCGGCCATGGACCAGGAGGATCGGGAGGAGGAGGAAGACTCTGAGGATTCAGAACAGAGTGAGGATCTGGAGACTGGTGGCATACATGAAGTTCCCAAGTTGTCTGAGATGGAAGCCACACAGGTTGCTACCATGGAAACGGCTGCTGGTCCACTTACAGAAACCCATGACTCGCCTCAGGACTGAGTCATCTCACCTGGTGAGGCAGGTGTGGTGGACGGTCCAGCAGCGTCGGGCCAGAACAACACCGAAGAAGCTTTCCTTTGGCTTTTATTATTTTTTATTCCTGTTTTCTAGAACCTGATCTTTTCTGCGTTTCATCCAATAAAGTCATGTTAAAGAAACGTCATCCTTATGAACATGGGTCACACTCATCTACTTCTCTAGTTCCATGGTGATGTTAGAGTAGGAAACCCACGGAGACCCATCAAACACGCCTGATAGCGGCTCCATGATTGTGTCTAGTAGATCTCAATGAGCAATGCTCCTGGTGTAATAGTAACTCATCCAGGATCTATCTGGTACTCAGGATTCGGCGTGACATCCCTCCTTTCCTGTAAAGGTGAGGTCAAAAGGAGGGGATCTCCCGTGGATCCTTTAGCTTCATGTTTTAAGAGATCTGCCTCCATCTGGCGCTTAAGCTGACCAGATGTCCCACCGTGGGCAGGACTTGTCACACGTCCCTCCCGCATTATCGCCACTCTCCCATTTCACATCACCGTCCCCCTACAACGCTGCTGTCAGTCATACTAGGAGGCGGGACTTACCGCACACGTGGGGTGTGACCCAAACTACCACGACGGAAGGAAACAACGGTGACCACGGAGGACAGAGGCGCGGAGGAGAAGATTGTGTTAGAGTAAAGACTCGTGGGTTAAAGCAGTTCAGGGCGACTGCGACAGACTCGGCGACTTGTTTCACGGCGAGGAGTCCGATATGGAGTGGAGCAGAAAATAGGAGTCTCCTAAAACATGCTAGTTTCCCAGTAATTAGACAGGTTCGTGCTAAAGACTGATGCAAACCAGCTGAAGCCGTTACAGAAGTAATCAGATTACTAAGTGGAAGCTTGGATGATTTATTCTAACATTTTCAGAGTTTAAATTAGTGACGTATTTTTCCTTTTGCTTACTAAGAACTTAAGAGAAAATCAAAGGATGGATATATTTTCTGTGGGATGCTGATTTTAGTAAAACACTGATTAAAAACAAATGGATGTGAGAGTTTTACGGGTACTTTTATGGTCGTTCAGTTGTGGAACGTCAGTGCAGATATCCAACTGTAAAGCTGCTTAAGCCCGCTCTTCTGCTGTGGGCCCGTCTGCATTATGAAACGAGTTGATGGTTTAGCTAGCGTTGTTTGGTAGGAGGGGCCTGAGCTAAGCCTCTGCTGTTTGCGTGTTCAAGTTGAACCAAGATAACGCTCTACTAACTTTTAAAGGTTCCCTTTATTAAAGCTGCTTAGTACAGCATTAATAAATGATTAGAAATATTAACAGCCGCTTAAGCAGAAGGAATGCAAACACCCCCTGCTGTCCTAACCTTAAGGACACTTGATAGTAAATATCAGGAGGAACACCCTTTGTTTATTAATGCTTAATAAAGTACAAATTAACCTTAAAGAGCAAGTCACCTCAGATTAACTTGTTTTAGCTGATAAACTACATAAACGAGTCTCTGATCGTGCTGCAGACACGTGTAGTCAATAGTTTTGCACTTTAGTGCATCTTAGTTAAAATTTAAACGTTCTGCCTAAAACTGTCAATGTTGCGCCGTCGTCAGGTTAAAACTGCATTGCATTTGAATCTAAATCTGCCATCGCTATTGGCTAACAGGTACACTATGATGTTAGCTGGTATGTTATGATGTCACAACGTTGTGAGCTTGTGTTTGTGTTAGCGGCTCCGCCCTCTCGGTCCGCCAGGCTACAGCATTTGTTGAGTTTTCCAAACAGGAAGTGGAATGGAGTAATACTCTGGTAGGGGGTGACTTGCTCTTTAATAAAGAGAACCTGATTGTGACGCATTAAAATAGAATTACATGAAACATGATAGCAGTTTTATGCATCTTGAAGCGCGACAGAGCTAACGGGCAGAATAGATTTTTACTTAATTTTGTTGCATTGGAATCTCACATCGTCCACGCCGAGTTGTGTCTGCCACATCCGGTGACGTAGGATGTGGTCCTGGTGGTGTCATGTTGGGTTGGTCTTGGAACTGGGAAAGGGTTTTAATCCATTTAAACATCAATGGAGCTTCTTTTTAGGAATAATGCTGTCATACATTTTAAAGTCTACATTGTGTGGCTTCTTATGATGAATGTAAAAATACCAGAATGGCAATCTGGACGGGTTGGACTAGTCCTTTCACCTGGTAGCACAGGTTGTTTTGGTGCATCTGTCCATCAGCCCTGGTGTTCCATCACGTCTCTTTAACTTCCCTCCTGCGTCTGGCGCGATGGTGAGGGTTGGACTCATCCAGGATCAGTTTTCCACAGAGCCGGAATGTTCTGAAGTCGTGTGATTAAGGTGCCATTTGGGTTTGTTCCTGGTGAACAAGGCCACCTGTCAGCAGAACCACACACACCTTTATTTTTACTAAGATGAGCTCTCTCTCACACACACACCAGCGATTGTAAAACATTCTTCTGAAGTCATCTTGCTTTTCAATAAAGTTTTGTAGGATTTGCATGAAGTGGGTGTTTGTAGATGTGTGTTCAGATGCAGCTGGGCTCCGTTAGGAAAGCTATGTCACATCCACACACACACACACACACACACACACGTCTGGGCTGGTCATTTACATCCATTTTAGTGGGTGAATTATGCCTAACCCATAATACTCGTCTATTCCCAACCTTAACCCTGACTATTCACACCACACCTCTACAACCAAGTGTCCCCATGTTGCAGTCCCCAGAACAAACGTAGCACAGCGTCTACACACACACACACGGCAGTTCTACACACATCATCACAAGAGCCCTTTGTGATTCACTGCTCAGAGGTCAGAAGTCTGACCACAAAATGTCCTCTAGAAATCCCCTGGGAGGGGGCAATTCCCGTCTAACCCCTCCCTGCACCGTAAATCTGTTCTGGGATTACGTGTTAGCATGTCCGTGGTTAATCCCAGGTCTCAGGTGTGTTGCACCTGAGACACCACAGAGTCCAGGGTTCTTTCTGGGTTCAGGTTCCACCGGTCTCATCCCTTAGCCTCCAGCTCTGCGGTGGGGGGTTGGCTCTTCATCACTAGATGTTCTCCACCTGGAGAAGAGCAAGGTTAGCTCTGGTGCCTCAAACACAAGCCAACCTCGTTAACAGACTCGTGATGTCACTAACGTTGCTGCAGCCGGGGCAGGTACGCAGGGCCGCGGCTGGCAGAGTCACTTCTCTCCACACGGCCGAAACATGTCTTTCAGCGTGGCTGGCTCCGTGTTTTTGTCCAAACTGTCACAGAGAATGGAGAGTTGTCGTGAACTCAGCTGAAATGAATCATTTGTCTCCATTAAATCAAAGAAAACCGGATTGGTCAGCTGGAGGTTTAACTAATGAGGACCACGGCTTCACCGATACACACGTTTATAAAATGTGGTTTGATTTTACGCGTTCAGTGGTGTTTACCACTGTGAGAATCGGACTGCCGTCCACATGAACTCACCATTACTGCATTCTACATACTGTGGTGTTTTAAGGGTGAAGAATCAGTTTGGTTTGTTCACCTTCAAAAACAACAGCTCAGTGTCACAAACATACGTGAACCTCTCCAGAACCTCTTCCCACTTTGCTACCCAAGTGTACGCGCGTTGCCACGGTAAACAAACTGACACAGCTGAAGTAGGAAGCTTGGACATTTCCAAGCAAGAAGAAAAAAAAACTTTTGTAGCACCTCACAAGAGAATTAAAAAAGCTCTTTTTCTGAGATTGCCTAGATCATTTTTACCGAAAAAAAATGTGAAAAGCTCAGTTTGTTCGAATTAATGAGAAGTTTTACAGAAAAAATAAATTAGATCACACAAAAAGTTGGTGCCAAATGGAGAAAAACATTCTGAACACTAAAATCTCTGAAAATTGTTTCTAAAGGTGGACAGCTGAAACGTTTAACACCCCGTATTTGAGTGGGACGACTTTAGTGGTTACAGTTTTACAACCAGAACTGTGAAATTAGCTGTGTAGCGTAGAAGGAGGCCATGTAATGCAAACAACCTGCTCTACCAGAGGGCAAAGGTCACCACACACGAGTGTCCAGCCGGTTTCCTCTGCCTGGAATATTGTGAACTTCTTCGACAAGAGTCGTCTCAAGGCACTTCACATTATAAACATTCCAATTCAGGTCAGTTCATTAAGCCAATCAGAAAAAATGTTTCCCAAATAAGGAACCCAGCTAATTGCATCAAGTCACTGACTAGTGCCAGTGACTATACAGCAATCCTCATACTAAGCGAGCATATAGCGACAGTGGGGAGGAAAACTTTCTTTTAACAGGAAGAAACCGCCAGAGGATCCTGGCTCAGTATAAGCAGCCATCCTCCACGACTCACTGGGGATCGAGAAGACAGAGCAGACACACACACCAAGCAATGTGTCCATTGTAGCGTTAGGAAGTTTATAATGGTCTGCCCTTAACAGCTGCCCCTTCACACAGTAACATCGCCAAGGTCAGACGCTTGGTTCAGTATGTTTACATTCCAGGAGAAGAGACAGAAGAACAGAAGAAGAACGCTTTTCATTGATTAATCAAAGTACTTTATTTGTGATAAGCTAATCAAAGCATTTGTTGATCATTAATAATCAGGTGAATGATCTGTGAAATAAAGATGTCATGAGTTATGTGTTTAAATGAATAAACAGGGTTGCACCAGACAGACTGATATGCATTACCATGGAGACGCATGACACATTGTTTTCAACCAATCAGAACTTTCGTCTGTCGTAGAGAGAATCTGGGATGTTTACTTAATGTGTCCAATCCGGTTTACTAAGATTCATAAACAACTGGGAGATATAAAAAGAAGGCAACACCATTTTAAGTTCAGTTCCACGTTAAGTTCCACATTGACATCAGCTCTGTTCGATCCGAGCTCCAAGGAGTTACATCATACTCTCAACATTGTTTTCAACCAGCTCTCAATCCATCACCGCAAAGAGGAATACAGGCTGGCCATCTGTACTTCCTGTTTTAAGCTGAGAACTGTTCAAGCGGGAGATTTTCGTCGGTTGTACCAACGAGACAACATTCCTTCAAAATAAGAGTGAACTTGCTGACGCCTGCCGACTACTACCGGAGTCATCCTCAGATGGGCTTTGTAGTGCTGCGACCGCTGTTTCACCAGCTCCAGTACAACCGAGGGTCCCAGGACCTGG